AACAAACAACAACAGCTATGGAACTCCAGAAATTATTTTAAATTCAAGATAATAATAATCAAGCTTATTAATTCTATTAATAGGCAAAATTTTTTTTAACATTGGTTTAGTATTTAATTTCGAGAAAAATGCAACCATGGGACATGATATAAAGTTGGCGCTATAATTTTCGTCCTCAACACTGCTGACATATCTGGGAAAAGACTATATGAAATTTTGTCTTATATAAATGTAAATGAAATGATGTTCTGCTCCAATGCTGGGCTAATGAAGACAGGCATACGCCATACAGTGTGCTATTTGGGAAATTTTGCCCGGGCAGCGGCAATATAGCCTACTCTTATATCGAATTCCAACTGCCAAGGTATATAAATATGTTAATCATTTTGGCAAAAAGGGCAACCTGCCGTGAATGGGGCTCTCATCAGATCTGAGACCCTTTGACAGTGAGTAGTGTAGCGATCCTTCAGCGATAATGTAGGGAGTAGATCGTGGATGCCAGATGAACGTAGAATCGTAATTACTCTATTCATATAGTTGTGGGACTGGATGCGCGAGGCCGTTTAATATCAATTGATTAGTTATCCAAAATATGCAAGATTAGAAAAATAAAAAAATAAAAACTCCGTAGAAAACAGGAAACCGTGATAATGATGAGATCTGTTTTGCGGAAGGTGGATAATAACAAGTGGAGATACATAAAAAAAATATCACATTTATTATTATGCACACCGTACACGTGTTTTGACAAAATATTAATAATGTTATATAAACTAATAGGGTAGACGATATTTGGCAACGAATAGGTGGTTAGATTTCTATAAGATTGGTCAAGTTCACATTTACATGCACTACGTTCTGTTGTGTCCGATTCGTGTACTGGACCTGGTATGCATTCTGCACAAAGAGAACTATGTACGCCTCTATGAGAATAGAACTCTGCTCTACATGGCCGTCATATCCAACAACTAGTATACTGTTTTGTAATGCGGCCCTATTCACATCTGTTATACACAAAAATACTAATCATAAGTTTTCAATTTTATTTAATAAAAGCTGATTATATACTTCTTAAAATTTAGTGTTTTCGACTAAAATCGTCGATTTAGGACCTAAAATGTCGGTCAACTAGCTTAATGACTGTTCTCAAGTAGAGATTACTGTAGACAGACAGCACAAGTTTAGTATGCCTGGTACATTGTATATTGATTACGGGCTGGGATCAATTATGGCTGAGGTAATTCTGTCTTAACAGTTAAATTTAATTTAAAATGATTTATTCTCATAATATGTGTGGAGTATTGTTGGCAAACTATTGAACTTCGATCAGTTGTATTCTGTTTCGGAGTTTGTTAGACAGGTTTCTAACTACTTGATTAAAAGGTCACCAAGAACAATAAGTGAAATGATAATTCAACCAATGTGTGCGTGCTTCTCGAGTAAACTTTTTTTGGTCATAAAAATACATTAGGTTATTGCGGACAAAATATTTAACTTCGTTTCCACTGCAAACTAGTTCTGGCTATATTGTTCTTTTTCTACATGATGGCCTTAAAGGTCGCGACACGTCACATTCCAATTTTCAACAGTGATAAATGATGTAGGACCCTAGAGAATCATTCTGTTCCAGCTGTTTAGAGTTGAGGGTTTAAAGGAAGAATGGATATTAAATATTAATAAAAATAATATAATTACTATACATTTAGCCCCGGGACACATTTTTACTCAAATTACTCTGTTTAATGGTTCATAGCAGGAAGCAACCTGTAAGGGTTTCTTCATTGGAGATCGTTTCATATTGAATAGGAAAATGATTCTACTTATAATTAAGTAATATTTATTAAAGTTATTTATTGTCTCACCTAGTTCTATATTTCTTCATGCCAAACAATCAAAGAATAACAGTTCTAATTATAAATCATTCCTGTTCAGTTAAATTCTTTCAGTTTATTTTTGTACGGTGGCCGTGCTTCAACAATTCGTTTTCGCTTCGGCGATTTTTTAGCAGTGATAGAAACGGTTGACCTTTGGAAATCTCACACAGTCCCTGTTGTAATTATATCAAATCCATTAAAATAGTATACCAACTCTTTGATAAAAAACAAACAAAACAAACCCAAACAACGGCATCAACGAAGACGATACTGTTTACGGAAGTGTTAGTGAAGTGTTTCCGTAAGTCAGTGAACTCCGCTTTAATTGTTTATCGCATCTTGGATAGCCAAGGTAGGGCACCAGTCTCTCCACTAGAATGTACCTTGCTTAGAATTTACCTTGCTGGAATTCCGACGTGGGCAGGGAAGAACCCAAACGCTTTTCCAAGCCAAGTTCTCATATGGAGGATGTGTCTAGTCGTTCCAATGAGACCCCCCCCCCCCCCCCGGTTACCCGTGTACATGTCGACAAGTGTCCCCGCCATCCACAATGGTTTACTTCTTTCAATTTGTTAAAACACTCGCAGAACCCACAGGTATGAAGATGGTAACATCCCCAGATATCCACGTAATTTTATCGTCAGAAGCATCGAACAATCACGTGACGATTAATAATACAGAGTGATGACAGAATGTCCCCCAAATGTTGACCCTAGGAATAAATATCTTACCGGAAGTGACATTTAATTAAAACCTAGAAAGGCTGTCAACACAGCAGTCGGGTTATAAAATAGCTCAGAATGTATATTATTAATGCGAGTGATAATTATTTAAAGGCATACCACTTATGAACAATTAAGTGAACAATTAAAAATAAATGCCATGTACTGCTGTTCATGATGACTGTCATTTCATCGGAAGTGACGTGACCGCTGCAGGAGCCCATTAAATATATATTACACTGCTTTATGTAAGACCACTACGTCTAATTTACAATTACAGTCATTAAATAGTAAATTGCGGTAGCTGTAATGCAGTATCACAAGAATGGTCCACGCATTTCTTCCGGGAATAGCTAATAATACGTAGGGACTATCAGTTTAATTACTAATTACCAGAACGCCTGATGTAATTTTGTATCGTAGTAACAATTTACGTTTTTATTTCCTTAGTATATATATACATACCGGTTCTATCATCACAATATCACATATGGAATGGGATTTAACAACTACAAGTCAACACCCAATCTCTGTTACAGTGGTATTGCGAAAGTAAGCCGCCTTTTTACTCTGTACATGATGATTGACCCTTACGTTGAAAACCAATTCACTCGCCCTTATGTCACCCCTCTCAGTGATAGTAGCGGGGTCTAGCAAATATTTACTGCTGATCAGTTTGGTCAACACCTATGACGATGTGACGGAGAGAATATTATTGTCCAGCTATGCTGCCGACTCTTCTTATAACGTGATTTAAGGGTTGGAGCCTGTGGGACTTAGAAGTACGATGGGCTGAAAACTCGAGGTCCCTTCGTGTACACATTGGGGGCCAGGTGGCAATTGGAATTCTATGACAATTAAGACGACAACGCATCCTAAGCCTTGGACACGTTGTCATAGAAACAAACAAAACAGTATAATAAATTAGACTTAGAAATTTACTTCCTTCCATAATAACTATACATTGGACGGACTTATACTACTTAATAACGACCAGGTCTAATTGGCGAATTATATCATTAATTTTTGCTATCATCTTAGCTAGACACCTTTCCCTAGAGAATGGGTACAGGAAAAATGAGAGACTTCATCTCGGGAGTTCAGTGGACTGAGTAGAAATATTCTCTGGAGTATAATTAGGTCATAATATGTTCTACTTTTTAAACTATTTGTAGCTGGAAGTAGGATATTTATAATAAATGGCGAGATGGAAAAAAATAATAAGTCAACAGTAAATCCAAAAATGTTATTATTTGAAATCGTCAGCCACGCAGGCTTGATCTCGCGAAATTACCAGTGGCAATCTCTGACCTGCCGTCCGGAAAAACTTTCGGACGGGATTTCGACAGCATCGCCGCTTGCCTATATTTGCTCACTGCTTTACTAAGCGAAAAAAAAATCCCGCCAGACGCCAATCCGTTTTTCATATCGTAGCACTGTACAACTCACAATTTACCCGGTTACATCAGTGCTCGACTGTTCTTACAAGTATACTACCGAATGATGGATAGGTTTGAATTTGTATATTTTTAAACAGCTTCCGTTAAATTATCATGAAAGATACGATGTTCCGGTAACAAATTTAGTACCCTGGTAACTTGGCAAGTTTTCAAATCGATAGATATGTTACGTATTCAGAATCGCAACCGCCGAGGACATAATCTACACCTTACATAAGTTACCATGTCGAATCGGAATAATTTTATTAAATACAGTTATTAAATCCGAGTAAGAAACCATGTTCCTTGTCTGTCGGCTTTTATTTCTATTAACTTTATCGTGTACAAAGCTTCCCTGTCATGACTGCGTCTTAAAATTAAACAGTTGTTGATGTAACAATGATGCAGCTATTAAACTCGATCTGACAGTTCTTGTCTTTAAATATGATGAAACATCTCATCTGTCTGAGAGGGTCAACATTTCTATCCGATCAAAATAATTGCTAAGAAAATTAACTCTAAAGGGACCAAGATTTTCGTTCCTGGGTATGAAATATACATTCTTATACATAACGCTACTTTAAGTCCGAGAAACCTTGTTCTACTGATGTGTATTATATATATAATTGCTGAATCTGAACTAACATGTATCCGAAGGTTCACTTGCAGTCTGGATTTTGTCTTAAGCGTCACCTTCTACATCTGGGCAAATTTACAACTTATAACTGAAAATACTCCACTATACACGATTCGTAGAAACTTAAACTCCTCAATAAAATCTAAGTTGTATCATACTTTCTCGAAAAACAGTATTGCGGAAATACCATCCTGTTACTCTTTCAAAACAGTGGATCCCATTTAAGCAGATCTAGCACTACATATTACCAACTCCTTTAGTAACTGGTTAGACGTTTGATTTTAGTAGGTATTTAACTTATATGTCTTTCACCTTTTGTATTTTTCAGTAGTATATAATGAGACCCTGGTCATCTGTGGGCCTAGTAATAGTGCTGGTAGTTAAATGGCTCTGTGCCCTAGCATTAGCTGACTCCTTAGAATGTTCCCTGCCAGAAAATAAAGCTATATGTGACTTAATAGGTGGAGGTAAGTACTCAACCCTATCGTTGTGCATTAAGACTAATACTTCTCTCCCCATTGTTATCCTATTAAATTCCGGTGATCTTAATCTTTGGAACCATGACGACACCATCATTGCGCATTTTCCTGATAAAAATATTAAAGGTGGCTGGTGTGAATCGTGACCGGCTATGTGCTACATGAAATGTAGGTACATTGAAGGAAATACCTTTACTGGTAATCACTTACGTGAAATGTAGTAAAAAGTCAAGTAAAAACTAAATGGATATTAACTGTGATTTGGGTATTTTCGAGACATCTTACAGAGCGTTACGTACACAACTGTCTTGCGAGCAATATTCATTTTTCCTACCCATGTAAGTATTTGTAAACATACGTGCAATGCAGTTTTAAGTGTGTTTGATAGGCTTATATCCGGATCTGGAATCCATAAGTTACGTTTCGTCTTGGAGGTCATGTACCTATGGTGCAACAATAAAACATACATTATGCAAGAGCTAAATCTGCCTATTACAGGTCTTTCGTTAGATCTGAAATGTTATCTAAATTATTAATTAGACATTAACTTATTCAGACCATAATCAACTCTTGGTGCCATCGCTAGTCTGCGATATTTAGCGATTGGAATACTTTTTTAAAAACTAATTAAACGTACAAATGGATAATCGAGACTTTGTTTTTATCGTACCGACTTTAGTAACGTAAAATTCAAAAGCTAATATCTCGGTTCAGCGTAAAGCAATTTGACTGACATTTGCAACATATTCTATTTACGTTATCTATTTTTTAACTATTATAGTGAGAACTGTCAACTCTTTATCATCTCCCATAATTCCCCTTTAAATAAAAGACACGACTTATTTCTGCAAAACATGACACAACACAGAAGGCTCACTCTCAATTAATGCACAGAACAATCTATGGAATACAATTACTATCTTTTACGTGATTATTACACAGGGCCTGACAAGGACATCTGTCTAGTCCTTCGGATGCGACGGAAACCCGAGGTCTTGTGTATATATTGGAATGCACGTAAAAGATCCCCTGGCAGTTGGAATTCGATATAAGAGAAGGCGATAGTGCCGCTGCCCGGGCAAAATTTCACTCATAGCACACTGTATGGCGTATGCCCGTCTTCATAAGCCCAGTTTAGGAGCAGAACAGTAGGACGTTAAACCCCATTTCATTTCATTGCTCAGTAATAAACAGTAATTGTATGCCAGGGAGTTGTGCTCTGTATATTTCAAGTTTAGTTACAATAAATTTAATTAAATGTACCAGTAAAAATATATACTTTTTAAAAATTATTGGTGAACGCCATTATTGTCTATCATTTGTACTCTTCGACTAAACTCCTACACACAATTTAATAGTTTGACATATGTAAAAATACTGTAATTTTAAAACTATATGAAAAGCTAAAAATGGTTTTTAACCGACTGTGTTGCAGACACACATTTATTTTTTTCTCTTTGTTATTTTGAATGTATTTATTTTTCAACAACAGACCCATTTATACTAATAGAAACTCAACAATAGACGCATTTATAGTAATAGAAACTAAGTCCATTTGTCAAGACAGTAGGTATGTAATTGAGAGCGTCTGATCTTGTTATTTTTTGTCCTCGAAACACGTGGTAAATGGATTTAAAAGTCTTGCTGTAACCGTTAACAATGCTTAAAGAGTCTCCAATATAACTATCACATTCTTCATTATTGCAATGTTCACTTAAGTGTGATCAAAGTACCTATTTCCAAGAAGATATGCTGCAGCGGGCAGACACAATCATTCACAAGAAGCTTATAGCTGATCTTGCATTTCATTAAGTCTGATGCGATCTGAAAGCGTGCAGGACCAAATAATATTTTGTTGAGTTCTTCTTTTTACCTATACGAGGCTCTGTGAGTAGGACACTGGTCCGATCTAGGTGGTGTCCGAGAAGGTTTCTCGAGATTTGCAAGCCTTGTTTACACGAGTTGGTGGTGCAGGATGCCGGACCCTGGTAATAGGAACTAATCACCGATGTCCACCCGTATGTATACTCGCTGGCATGCACATAAAGGAAGAATTTCGATGACGATTTGTTTACTCACAGCACAGTTGGTTCAGATAAGTAGGACGTTGAACTGCATCATTTAATTACCAGAACAGTCTACGTTTCTACGTTATTAGTTGCGGATTCAAAACTTGTGGCTTTGTTTCTAGATTTCGAAGACAGTGACTTCAACCTCGTACAAATCGAGCTTGTACCTCTTCATGGTTAGTCAGGTAATTCCTGAAAATCAATTTTATTTTAGCACCTGTCTGCATTAGACGGAAAGTTAAATCTCATTTTATTTTATCTTTAGCAAAACTTATAAGATGTGCAGTGATAAAAATTAAATGGATTGACCTAGGGACAATGGTACTGACAACATACGACCTCATAAGTCCTAACATGGTTTAACAGCTCGTTAGTATAATAGATGGTATTTCATCCACGTCTTCATTGATCTTGACAGTGCAATCCAGTTCCATTCGTCAAATAACAAATAATACAGCTTTCTTTAAACTAATTTACATGCTCGCCTCTTATTGAATTACACACCCGCCATTAAAATTGATGTCACATATGTAGCCAATAAATGTTAATGCTATTTTACGTAATAACTTTATTCAACGTTATAACGCAATAGGTTATGTCCCCAGACATGTATTTTTAAGGTATCAGAATAATCAACATAAATTGTTCATAGATGTGAACATAGATATATTTACGTCTCCTTATAAATTCTTCCGTCTTCATTAACGTCTTAAATGTGGGTGCCCTTAGTAAGAATTTTCTTCCTTATAAATTGTTCAATTCAATTTATTATGTTGCACAAAGTTGATTTCTTGTTGACAATTTATGTTTCGGTGTCTTTGTATCAGATGGTAATTTTATAACATTTATGCACTGTATCAGTATTACACGGGTACGTTTGACACATCCGTGAATAAATCTCAATGATTCAGTTGTATATGGTTAAGGGAATGCTTTGAGATATCTGTTCCTTTCTTCTTGATCACAATACGTTGGGGAAATATAGATCTTTCAGTATTCCAAAGGGGTTAAATAAATGAAATAAAATGGGGTTTATTGTCCTACCTTTTTGCACCGATGGGGTTAATTAAGACGGAAGAAATGAAATAGGTGTTAGCGGGTGGTAATAGGAGCTGACTGGTTGGGAATAGGGTTAGGTTGATTTCGATGGGTTTTTGTGATCTGATGTGTTGATAAAGTGTAGTTAAATGATCGAATCGAGCAAACCTCGGTGGTTACATTACTTCCTATTTTGTTCTTAAAAAGACAACCACAGGTATATTTCAGTGACAACTGGTTGAGTTCTAATTAGCAGGTGAAGCTGGGGATGAGATGGTTTATTGTTATATCAATTACCCTGTGTCTATATAACTACGTGCAGTTATCATTTCCAGCAAAACATTTCGTTATTTAAGTTTCTTTGCTTGTTTATTTTAACTCCTTTTGTGTTATAGTTTTCCAGCGCATAATATAAATTTGCAGAGTTTTTATTCACAAACGCTATATATCATAAACTATTTCGATGATCTTTTTCAAATGGCACAATATTTTGAACTGAAACTGTCAGACAAGATAAAAAGGTTAATTATTTATTAACATTTTGGCCTGCATTCGAGACTTATTTAAAGAGGTGTCAGCAGTCTAAACGCTTTCTGGTAGTTGTGTAAGATGTTGTTAACATTTAGGAAGATTTTAAACGCGTCCTTGTATTTCGTAACTTTAAGGGAGACTTTATTAAGAGAAATACAATAGCGTTTAACACCCAATCTTTCATCACCAATCGGGCCAATGAAGACGGGTATACGCATTGCCGTGTGCTGGGCCCACGACAGGACCCGGGACAAGCCACCCGGCGAGGGGTTGGGGTAGATGTGGGGGGGGGGGCTCCAAAATAGTTTAAAGATACATGGTGTCTAGCGTCATTTTGGCGTGTATCTGCGGTAATTGGAGGTCACTTTATTAAAACCCAGGAACTGCGTTGTTTAACACAACTACATAGGACATGCCAAATGCATGTTTGTCTAATACAGTCCCAATTACCCACCGGGGCCCGGATACCTGGACGGTGACCAGAGTTCCAAACGCAACGGGGAGGTTGCTTATAGTATTTAATTCATCAACTCCCCCCCCCCCCCAAAAGGGGGAAAAACGAATTACTGACTGAATCCGATTCTAATTCTACCCATTCCACTAGGTACCCACATTCACCGGTTGTCTTCTCCTTTACAGTGTATTTTCTGCTTTTATTAATTTATAACAAACATTTTCTTTAAAAAAAAAATCATTACTGATAATACAAGTGCTCCAGCTGCCCGCCCCCCTCACGGGCCCTGACTTTATACGATCGTAATCCTGTCCAGTTAGCGGCGAATCGCATATTCTACATCAAAATTTAACTGACAAGGGCTCTTTTACGTCCACAATAACGATGCCTTTTCTTACCACACCCTCTTTTCTGCCATCGGAACTTCTCTTTAATTAGTCAGCGACGTAATCAATGCGCCACCGTAGCTCAATATCATACGTTTTTAAGAGAAATCTCCTGTTTGAATTCTTGACAATCGTTCTAGCAATGTTACAAAGGCAGGGTTCTTTACTTAATATTACGATGCGAGATCATATCATATATTCGTTAATAATGGCATGTGTCATAATTTCGATCCATATTTCTCGGGAATACAGCTTTAAATGTTTAAGGCATTAATGGGTGGCTAACTTGAGACAAGAAATCAATGAGCGCTATAATAGTAGAGGTATTAGATGACAATATCCCCTCTTAAACAGCCCTTACATTAAATTCACTTAATATCTAAAGCACTTTTCAGTAACACGACTAAACACCTCATACTCACTAAATCAATAACTCTCCTCGTCTCTTTCTCTAGAGAGCATCACCACTCGTCGCTGCGGAACTTTGGGGGTTATTTTTATTGTAGAATA